AATTGATCAAAGTTTTCTGTGTTTTGTTTTAGTAACGCCACCTTGTGTGTGTCTAGTGTTTTAAAGAATATTAATAATCCTGCGATTTAAAAATGCAGCCTTCAGATAAATATATCTGGTGGTGAAAAAAGTAAAATAAGAAATATGAAATTCCTCAAAACCTTTCATGTTTACGCCTCATTATGCGAGTACGGGAACGTGTTCAAACATGTTTCTGTTCGTTTTTTAATAAACAGAACTTTTAAGTCGACGATTTACATTCAACTGTTTAACTGCGTTGTTGAAATTACCTCTTTTTTAACAACTTGAGCAATAATGAAGACATCTTTATTTTTACAGTTATGGAATGTTGCATATGTAAATACAAAAAAAAAGAAACAGCGAGAAGGAGCTTTTAGCATTTAGAACTCAGAATAGTAACTTGACAACCAAGACAGAAGGACTTTCGCCAGGAGTTCACACGAACTGAACCTTTTAATAGAGATTATGCAGTAAAATATTTGTTCTCAGAAAGTGAGGGGGGGGGGAGATTTCTGTTTCGGAGCATCTTCACAGCTTGTTCCATACACCAAAGTGAAACGCCTACAAACACAGTTCTATTTCCACAACCTTATTACTTTATGTTGCGTTGTGTAAGATCCATATAGCGGGAACTGTTGTTGGACTGCTGCCGAGTGATGTAGTAAACGTGGCAAGTCTTGCGAGTGAATATACGAAATATAGCGAACTCTAGTGAGCTATAATAGCCGATTTTCACTCTTTAAGCAGTAAAATGCTCTTGAATATGTCTAATTACTTTTTAAGAAACTTTATTATAATCTACGTACCTAGGGGTGATTCTGCAGTTCGAGTTTAATAATAAATATACTCTTTTGTTTTTTATTGTAATGCGATTCTTAATATTAACATTACTGTCGCTAGGGTATCGTGAAACTGGTTAATAATACCCACACTATTTGTGTTAGTGTTCCTTGAGCAGGTTTGATAATACCAGTACTACTTTCAAGAAAATTAATCGTACAGTGTTGATAATACCGGTACTACTTCCTCTAAAATTAGTCGTACAGTGTTGATAATACCGGTACTACTTCCTCTAAAATTGGTCGTACAGTGTTGATAATACCAGTGCTACTTCCGCTAACATTTGTCGTACAGTGTTGATAATACCGGTGCTACTTCCGCTAACATTTGTCGTACAGTGTTGATAATGCTGGTACTACTTCCTCTAAAATTGGGGCTACAGTGTTGATAATACCAGTGCTGCTTCCGCTAACATTTTTCGTACAGTGTTGATAATGCTGGTACTACTTCCTCTAAAATTGGGCTTACAGTGTTGATAATACCAGTGCTGCTTCCGCTAACATTTGTCGTACAGTGTTGTAATACCGGTGCTACTTCCGCTAAAATTTGTCGTAAATTTTGTTAACATCAGTACTACTTCCGCTCTGGCTTTATAGACATTGTTGATTGTGTAACATTTTTTTGCAGTTTCATGGGGAAGACGTGTAGTAACTATTACTTTAAGAAACTGAATGCTACAATATTTCCGCTAGCAAGTAGCAACATGTTTCAGTACAATGTCAATGACGTCATTTCGCAGTTATAAATGTAAAATTATTCAGCAGTGCTATCGTTCAGAAGCAAACTCTGTTCCCATTGTTCCTAAACACCACAGTTATTTCTGTTCCCATTGTTCCTAAGCATCACAGTTATTTCGCTGGATTAAACGCAATTTTACAGATGGTCGCATCAGTGGGGTCATGTCTCATGAGGATTCAGAGACAAAGCGGAGTTGTTTTTATTTCTAATAGATAGTATCTCCCTCCCGAGATTATGAAACACGAGATCCATCAATAAGGCCACATCGGCACCGTTGTATGTAGTGGATCGGATAGCTGGCAGTGGGAGATAAGTCATTAATAATATGAACCTTGTCTTCGAAGGAAAGACAAGGACTGTCCCTTGGTGAGAACAGTTATTAATCATCTCCATGGAAACCGTCTTTAAAAGTGACTGTCAAGGAATGCCGTCAGTCGTCGACAAGTGTCCCCTAGTTTTTATTTCAGTATCGTGGAACTGTTAGTAATTTAAACAGTCACCAGGCTGTATTTAATATAAATAATAATAATAATAATAAATAAATGGAATTGATAATAAACTGTGGTAAAACCTGAAAATGCACCACCACCACCCCACCCACGTTGTTCAACAAAGAAAACCTGAATATATAGAAGTTGTTCAAAACAGTTTTAGTCGAAAACAAGAGGAGGATCGTTTGATGAAAAAATTGACTGTTTTATTTCTTCTTTTTTTAAACATATTCTTACAAGGGTTTTGGTCGTTTTTTATTCTCATATTTGCCATCGAACTTTTATTAGGCTTAAGGGCCAGACGGACCCTTTAGAAGCTCTTGGATGTTCCTGAAGGGATAATTCAATTATATATATGGCCTGAAATTTGATTGGGAAATTCAGTTACCGTATTTTTCAGTGTATAAGATGCACTTTTTTACCTCAAAATTTGGTGTCAAAATCTGCTTGCGTCCTATACACCGAAGGTATGAATACACAAGCCATGTGTAGATATATTTAAATAGGCATGCATAGTTTAGTTCATTTGAATGTGTTATTTATAACAATAGTAGTTTTTTTTCTTTTAAAAACATAACTATTTATAATGCCCCCTAAATAATAAAAAAATAAATCAAAGTAATAGAATTAGTAAAGTTAGTATAGTAACGTTTTCCCCCAAAACTTTGTCTTCAAAATAAGGGTGCGTCTTATATTCCGAAAAATAGCCTGGTATATATGGCCTGTCATTGGATTGGGAAATTAAATTATATATGGCCTATTATTGGATTGGGCCGTAGTTTTACGGCACAAGCAGTAAAAAAATAACCGCAAACTGGCACTTTATTGTCAAATTATTGGAATCTTTTTGGGGTTCTGCTCCACACACAAACACACTCAGTTGTAGTTACTGGGGCCAAATATATATTTCTTGATTTAACGACAAGGAATCCACTTAGAGACTAATAAAGTTTGGAAAAAGCCTGAAAGGAAACCTTATTACAATCTTAACACTACACCAAACAAAGGCACAACGTTTCAACAGTTTTGTGATCGCGATGTTGAAACGTAGTACATTTGTTACTGTGTTGAACTTGTAATAAAGCTTTCTTCGTTATCTATTCAAGCTGTCTCCAAACTTTAATACATCTTTTTGTTAACTAGCTGCCTTTCCTTTAGTCTGCCAGTTTAATATTAGGGAAGACTACGTGCAGAGAGCCCTCTTGTACTCTTACACGAAAGTTCTAAACAACAAAATGTATAACAATCGTCGACGTTGTAAACAGGCCCGGCATGGCCTGATGGTTAGGGAACTCGACTCGCATCGCGGTCACGGGTTCGAATCCCCGTCCCAGCGAACATGCTTGCCCTTTCAGCCGTGGGGGCGTTATAAAGTGACGGTCAATGCCACTATTCGTTGGTAAAAGAGTAGCCCAAGAGTTGGCGATGGGTGGTGATAACTAGCTGCCTTTCCTTTGGTCTTAAACTGCTAAATTAGGGACGGCTAGCGCAGATAGTCCTCGTGTAGCTTTGCGCGAAATTCAAAACAAACAGTCGCATCTCTTAAGCGAAATATGTTTTATAGAGCTTTACTTTTATTTTATTTAAAAAAATACGCAGACAACAGTAAGACAGCATAATAATTATATTTCGAAAAATATGTTGCCTTTGGTACTTTCGTTAGTCATCTAATTCATACAATCAGCCGAAATTATAAACCTATTATTTATATTATTTGTCATTGATCACAATAGATACTTTACTCTTAATCAGAGTGGCGTGGTTCAGTGATTAACGTGTCGGGCTACGATACGGAAGGTACAGGGTTCGTGTCACAATGCCGCTCCGAACTTTCAGCTGTGGGAGACTTGTAAAAATGATGTTCAGTTCCATTTTATAGCTCGAAACCTAACAAAACCTTTGTGGCGACAAGTGCTGCTCACTGGTTGGCCCTCTCTTGTAAATAGCTCGAATTAGAGACTGATATATCAAAATTTCTGGGAGTCTCTGACCTGACCATTTATTTAGCCCTGGTACTCACAAGATGTCGTTCATGTTGAAAATACAAATCATTCATTGCTTTCTAATTTGAAAATATATTCTTACAGAAACTGTATTCCTTTTCAACTGACAATGTTTACGTAAATCCGCGAAAGCCAACAGCATTAACGTTTACTCCACGTTATCCCCACATTTTCCCATCACAATCATTCTGTAAAATAAAAATACAGAATTTCGTGAACGAAATTTAAGTTTTGTTTGCTGACGTGTAATGTCAATCATGAATAGTGTACACGTTCACCGTTAGATGGAGTTTTCTTACAGAAACACGAACACATTTTTGTTATTACAATATAAGAATGGCCAGTTGAAGGTGCCACGACTCAAAATTCCTGAATATATATATATTACAAAGGATATACGTAGTTTTTAGTTGTGTTTTTAGAAAGATTGTCAAACAGTACATACAGAATAAAACAAGACTACAGAAATAGTAAAGTAATATTAATAATTTGAGATAACATATTTTTGTTAAGGACGTTTGGTGAATGGCCATAATTGGGACGCGGCCCTCTGGTACAGCTATGAATTTTGGAGCTGGCGAACTGGGATCAAATCCCTGTGATACCACAAAATATTCCCCCCACTTATAAGAGTGGCTGTCAATCTCTTGGCTTGGATGGTGGGTGATATAAGGTGGTTCTGACTGGTTGCTCTCTCACAGGTCACTAGTTCAAAATCAGTGACTCATCGTCAAGTCTAAAAGACTATAACTCTTAAAAAAAACTGGTTTCGATACACATGTTGGGAACAGTACGTATATCCCATTGTGTAGCTTTGTGCTGAACAACAAACAAACAATACGAACAGCTGTAAAACACTGTGCCTTTAAAGTTATTATTCCTAATTTATTTATCTGTATTTGTGCAGGGAGCGTTATCCTTTGGCAAGACGGAAGCCTATGTAAAGCTAGAACAACTGGGTGAAGGTTCATATGCTACAGTCTATAAGGGATACAGCAAGTGAGTCAAATCTGTTCTTTATAAAACTGTGTAAAACAAGAATTAATATTAACTTCTCATCAAAGCAAGCTACCCAAACAACTTATAACTAAAAATAATCCGATAATGAATATAGGTAATTAAGTATACTATTCTGACCTTCTTACTTTTAATGATTTGAATGCTTTATTTAATCATTTGGATACCCTTACTGTTAGCGATATTTTCGGTCGTAATCCCACTAATATCTTAACAGAGAGAAAAAAAACTCTATTAAAAATATGAAGGTAACATTTTTTTTCCACATTTCATTTTAATAGTGAAGGATATTTACGTTTCATCCAAACTAAAACTGTTGGAACAACAATACAAAAACATTAATGAGCAGTTATGTGTGACTAATTGTTGGCTACTGCCATTGTTCTGTGTGGCTGAATAATTGTTGGCTACTGCTGTTGTGTTGTGACTGACCAACTGTTGGCTACTGTTATTATTTTGTGTGACTGACTAATTGTTTGCTACTGGTTTTGTTTTGTGTGACTAGCTAATTGTTGGATACTGCTATTGTTTTGTATGACTGACTAATTGTTGGCTACTGCTTTTGTCTTGCGTGACTAGCTAATTGCTGGCTAATGCTTTTGTTTTGTGTGACAGATTAATTGCTGGCTAATGCTTTTGTTTTGTGTGACTGACTGACTGGCAGCTACTGCTATTGTTTTGCGTGTATCATTACTTGTTGGATATTGCTATTGTTTTGTGTGACTAATTATTGGATATTGCTATTGTTTTGTGTGACTAATTATTGGCTACTGCTATCGGTTTGTGTGACTGATTGTTGGCTACTGCTATCGTTTTGTGTGACTGACTGATTGTTGGCTACTACTATCGTTTTGTGTGACTGACTAATTGTTGGCTGCTGCTATTGTTTTGTGTGACTAATTGTTAGCTGTTGCTGCTGTTTTGTGTGACTATTGGCTACTGTCTTTGTTTTGTGTGACTGACCCCTTCGGTTTTTTAAACACACTGTTTTCTAAACTGGTTATATACCAGATCATTGCCTGTGGGGACATTACTGTATTGGTCCCTAATAATAACAACAATATATATATATATATATAACTTTTAATATTACAGTTAATCCCGCTAATTACTGATAGAGCCTCTTATATATTTTGAATTTTAAAACGGGTGAATTCACCAATCTTTATTTCGTAAAATCTTTATAGTGAGTGTAATAACTGACAAAAACACGAATTCATTAAGTATAATGCAGTATGTGGACCCCACCGGTAGGGAACAGTATAGAGACAAATGGGTAATTTGAGGCTTAACGCTGTGTTTCATTAAATGTTTTATTTACATTCTAGCTTAACAAATAAGGTGGTGGCGCTCAAGGAGATCCGACTTCAGACAGAAGAAGGAACACCTTTCACAGCGATCAGAGAAGGTGAGTGTGGGTCTTGTCTGATTACATGTATTTAAACTGGTGTCAGTTTTCATATTACCATCACGTGAAACGAGCTGAGTCACAGCCCATGTTGACAATTTAGTGTCACTAGATGGCGTTGGCGATTCAGTTTACGAAATTAGTATTGTAATGTCACCGGGTGGTATTAGCTGCACACTCTATATTATAATATTGCAATACCATCAGGTGCCATTAGCGGTTTAATTTATGTTATAACGTTGTAGTACCACTAGGTGGCATTCGCAGTTTATTCTATATTATAACGTTCTAGTACCACCAGGTGGCGTTAGCGGTTTATTTTATATTATAAGATTCTAGTACCACCAGGTGCCATTAGCGGTTTATTTTATATTATAATATTGTAGTACCACCAGGTGCCATTAGCGGCACACTATATATTATAACGTTGTAGTACCATCAGATGGCATTAGCAATTTATTGTATATTATAACTTTATAGTACCATCAGGTGGCGTTAGCGGTTTATTTTATATTATAAGATTCTAGTACCACCAGGTGCCATTAGCTATTTATTTTATATTATAACGTTCTAGTACCACCAGGTGCCATTAGGTATTTCTTTTATATTATAACGTTCTAGTACCACCAGGTGCAATTAGCGGCTTACTGTACACTCTAACGTTGTAGTACTACCAGGTGGCGATAGCTATTTATTTTATATTATAACGTTATAGTACACACCAGGTGCCATTAGCTTTTTATTTTATATTATAACGTTGTAGTACCACCAGGTGCAATTAGCGGCTTACTGTACACTCTAACGTTGTACCACCACCAGGTGGCATTAAAAATTCGTTGTATAAAATTGACGTTGTAGCATCGCCACCACATGATATTAACGGTTCTGTTGCGGCATCTTTTGTCACATTTAAGTGAAATTTGGAACTGACAAAAAGACCAGTAGTAGTAGTATTGATTTTACCAGAGTTAAATAAGATAGAAACGATTGGGATTTTGTACCGGAACAAAAAAGGTGAATGTTAATAAAATCGTTATTGATTCAGTTTTATATATATACCTCGTTTCTTTGTATGTATTTACCAGTCGACTCAGGTTTTTACCGTTGGTTTCTATCAACATGTTTACTGTTCATTTAGTTACATCGTGAGGAATGTTATTGTTGATTAGTTACATCGTGAGGAATGTTATTATTCATTAGTTACATCGCGAGGAATGTTATTGTTCATTAGTTACATCGTGAGGAATGTTATTGTTCATTAGTTACATCGTGAGGAATGTTATTGTTCATTAGTTACATCGCGAGGAATGTTATTGTTGATTAGTTACATCGTGAGGAATGTTATTGTTGATTAGTTACATCGCGAGGAATGTTATTGTTGATTAGTTACATCGCGAGGAATGTTATTGTTGATTAGTTACATCGCGAGGAATGTTATTGTTGATTAGTTACATCGTGAGGAATGTTATTGTTGATTAATTACATCGCGAGGAATGTTATGTTGA